TGAAAGGGTCGTTCGGGCCCTAACGGGGTCGCGACCCACAGGTTGAGAACCGCTGAGCTAGAGGGTGTGCACTGCCAACCTTCTAGTTAGTAAGAAGTCCGTTGTTTAACCACCTTGCCACCAGTGCTTCTAGCGGAAATAAAGCAAAACATAGATTTTCTTATCTGAAGTTAGGAGCAAGAGCATGCACCATTCACTGGACTGAGTTGAAACATTGCTCGTCTGTGGTTTTTTAGGAATACAGTGTACCCTCGTTTATCGCGGTTAATCGGTTCTAGACCCTACCGTGATAAATGAAATTCCGCGAAGTAGGATTCCTTATTTGTAAATCAAATATTTTCGTAGTTAGAGCATAGAGGACATGAAAAAACATCCTTTAGTACCATTACACTCGTATGACCCAATTTATTAAACGAAAAAGGGAAAATACAGTAAAACATTTTGGACGTTACAATGATCATTTATTATTTATTATATTATTTATGGCATCTAGTTTACAGTATTACATATTTCACATACAGTATTATTATACATAGTTCTTACAAATACTGTAATCAATAACCTATGAAATGAGTTAAAGAATGTACTCTACAGGTGGGTCGCCATCTTTTTCCTCTGAAGGAGCGGGTGTACAGTACGAGCCAATCAGTGGCAGTAATGACAGAGCATGCGCTGTTGCACAAAAACCGCGATAGAGTGAAGCCGCAGAAGTCGAAGCGCGAAGTGGCGAGGGTTCACTGTACTTGAGTACATGTTTATATGTCATCTACACATATGTACATGCTTTCTCTTTCTTTTCCACACATGACACGTGCAGGGAGAAGGGCCGCTTTTGAGGATGGATGTCCACCTTGTCTACGTTATCCTGTAGCCTTGCTCAGGCCACGTCAGGGACTGGATACCACAATTTGCAAATATGGACTTAGTGTGTTCAACCCATCATTCAAATCTCCTTAGTAAGCCAGAGGTTAAACCTGCCTCATCTGCTGGATAGGCGGCTAGGAATAGTTCCTCGTCCCTGGCTTCCCTCGCCCTTTGTTCTCACTGAGGTTTGAGGTGTGGGGGTGAGATAATGAAGCTGCAGGTCCAGGCTGGCCTCGGAAATCTGACCCAGAGCAAATTTGGTTATTAAACTCATTTTCTTAAATGGCCTTAAACTAAGCGAGTTGATTTGAGCTGCCATGAACACAGTGCTGCCAAACAGGCAAGTAGGAGCCTGCCTGTCTCCCTCAAATATTGTAGAATTGAAGTTAGGTCTGTGTCATCGTTTCAAGATTGGCAATTTCCTTAAATGCACATACCGTTATAGCTCACACAAACACTTTTACAAACAACTAAAAGAATTCTTGGGATGAAGGAGCATTTCCCACCAGCCCCAAGAGACGTCTTGCTAAGTAAACGTCCCATGATCAACTAACATTTGGCGATGCCGCGGCAGCTCTGCCCCTCGGGGAGACTCCGTGAACAGACACCGCGGCAGATTCATAGCCAAGAAGAGCGCTATTGGAAAAGCCTGTTTGCCATTAGCTTAAGCTGGAGTTATGGAGCCCCCATAATGCAGCAGTTAAGAACTCAGCTGCTCACCACAAGGTGATTAGCTGCCCTACTGCAGAATCACCAGCTGCCCTACTGGAGTAAGATGTGACTGCTTTGGTAAATACTGGAGTTGGACACCATAGCCTTAGTTCTCGTTGGTCTTAGAAGGTCTCCATGAGTGAGAACCAACTTAATAGCTATGGGGTTGGGAACTCAGAGTTCACTAAAATTAATGGATTGTGGGGTCCACTTTTTCATTTGTGAATATCCTCAGAATTAGTTGCTCTCAGTGCATTTGGCATGCACTGGTTTTCATTATTTTACTCCTAGGCTTCATTTTTAAAAAATCATTTTATTGGGGCCTCGTACAATTCTTGTCACAATCCATCCATCCATCCATTGTGTCAAGCACATATGTACATTTGTTGCCCTCATCAGTCTCAAAACATTTGCCTTCTACTTGAGCCCTTAATATCAGCTCCTCATTTTCCCCCCTCCCTCCCCTCTCCCCTTCCCCCAGGAACCCTTCATAATTCATAAATTATTATTATTTTGTCATATGTTACACTGTCCG